TTACATGATGCCTATTTAAAACAGCGAGGTTGCACCCAAGGGTGTGGCCCAGTGGTTAATAAAGTGGTTGAGAACCCTGAGGTCTCAGTTCAAAACTCAGTGGAGGCAAAAAAACACTAGGTGATTCTTCCCATTTGTCCTACCCTTGGTGGATAGAGTTACCTAGTACTGTTGCTGGTGGGAGGTGGCAGGTTCGAGGTGCGCGAAAGCTGGCCCGAACACCACGGTCATCAAAAAAAAAAAAAAAGCGAGATCTTCAGAGAGAGAGAGAGAGAGAGAGAGGGCTTTCACATGTGCAGCAAGTAATATTTGTGTGGGTTTGATGATAAAGAAACTGACCGCTTATTTTTGCCTTGCATAGTTAATAGGCAGAATGTTTTTGCAGATATTTGGTTTGAGGGAGGGTCATTTCAAGAACCTCAAAAAGAATTGTATTGCTTCTGGGAAGGATGGAAAATTACAAGGGAGCTTAAGAAAATCTGTACGACAGTTCCAGCATGTATAGTTTGGGACTTTGGGTAGTTTAAACTAAAAGAAATTGTAGATGCTTCTAAGGGGAGACTATATCAACAAGTATTAGAAGTTCACATGCCTTAGTTTATTAGGGCAATAGTGTAAATCACTTGCTGTAAACAGTGAGACAGCCAGATGGAATTAACTTAAATATTCAAAAACATAGTACTATAAAGGATGGAACATCTTTGTTAATCCAGGACTAACTTAGAGTTGGTCTTTTGCTATCTCAATAAAACTGTACGTACTAATAAAAGCTAAGCATGGTAGTTGTTAGGCCAATCAGCACTAGCTACAGTATGAAATCGAATAAACTTAAAACACCATTATAGAATTAAAAATCAATACAATACATGATAGCTCTCCCATAAGCATGCATTCTCCAGCTACAAATATGAGCCATGAAGTTTTTTCTAGAATGAGGATATCCATTGAGCTTTAACTCAAAAGTTCTCTGGGTAACTTGAAAAGAAGTTCATAAGAATTATCCAACCTTACCTTCAGAACATGAAACAATGATGGTACTCCCATCAGCAGTACCATAAGTTGCCTTGGTACCTACTAGAGTTAGGATTGCTCTCTTGTCATGAACTTTATGCTGTTCCCATTTGATTTGTGGAAGAGGAAGCTTGGCCTGTTTGGAATCAGCATCTGCTTTAGGTTTCTCTTCACCATACATGTACAAGGAAGAACCAAAAAGAGCATGGCATGCCACTGCAACCGAGGAAGCTTCATCAGCAACTGCAACTGCAATCGGATGACCTCCAGCAGGTAAATTAATTCTCAGAAACCTGAATAAGATTGGATTAGAGTTAGAAATTGGCAATTAAATTCACCTAACAATAATTATAACAGTAATAATAAAGCTTCTGCTCGAATCTTAATAGAAATTAGATTACTGCCTTAATAATAATAAAACAGTAAGAGTCATACTTAAAGCTTTTGCTCAAAGCATCATCCAACTTGAAGATCCTAACAACGCCGTCAGCACAAGCTGCAAGAGAAAAACATTAGTATGGAAGATTGACATCTATCTCCCCCATCCTCCTGCCAAAATATGTAAGGGGAATGTAAACAACTATTTCTAGAACCATAGATCCTTTGAAGTGATAGAAGATGTGCAGAATGTAACTATGACTACAATTTAAAGCATGTTCTCTTTAATTATAAGTTTAAGGATAACATATATATTTTGTTTAAGTAAAAAAAGTGTCCTTCATTAGTAACACACCAAGGCCATCAAAGTATGTAAAATGTGAATTAGTGGCTCAGCCAAGTCATATCTTTAAGTTACCTAGTTATCTACATACAGGTATTTTCTCTTACAGACCAAAAATATAAGTGAGACAATGTTCTTAAAGGTTCTTGCATCCCCTCACTGTTTCAGAATGCTTAGAGCTCAAACAATACAAATGCATAAAACCAAGAATTACCAGTTGCCAAAGACTGTGCATTGGGTAAGAAGCAAACTCCTGTGACAATATCCCCATGACCCTTTAGAGTATTCAAGTCCAGTGGGTGATGCCTTTTGTTTGCATCCTGCAAATAGACAATACCAAAAGTCACTTTTCAGTTGCCTGGTCATTTAATACACACCTCAAGGTTATATTTGCGATGAAATCCAGAAAAACCTTAAACTGATGAAAGCAACTTGGCTAGTCTGTTGAAATATATTGAGGATGAGAAATGACGGAGAGTTATTTATACGTAGTGTTGAAAAAAAGTGAGCTCACAGAAAAGTGAAGTTTTTGAAGGAAGAAACAGGATGTAGCAAATTGAAGCTATTAAAGGAAACTACTCAAATTGCCAATACACCGATTGGGGTCACCATTTCTACTGATTCTACCCTATATAAGGTGCAACGGTTGCTTTGCAAAACTTATCCAAGAAGAGAACTCCACGACAACTTTGACTTTTTGGTTTAACACATCACATCAAGCTTCCTACTGCAGCAAATTTAGACCTCCACGACAGCATATTATCATCTTTACCCCTTTTTTAACAGTATATAGCTACGGGATTGGTCCTGTTCTGTTCAGCCTATTTTGGGCTTCTGACATATTCAGGAATCTACTTTTTTCCCTTTTTGAGCTTCAAACTACTTTTTTGTTCTTTCTTTTCAATTTTCCACCATCTTTTGCCTTTATATTTGCCTTAAGAGATACAAAATCTTTGAACTTTTTGACTGATGTACAAGTCCAGCCCTATCTTAGTGCTCAGGGAGTAATTTGACTATAAGTTTGTTACCTTACCAGAAAGTAAGAAAAAAAGAAAAAAGCCATACCTACTTGGAAGAAGTTTGATAAGTTTCACATTAATCATAAGATTACACTTCATGGGTTGTATCATTTCACAGAAATGTATGATAAAAGGAAGAAAAGAAAAAGAGCAGCTAGAGCAAATTTCCACCATCCACAACTTCCAATTTCCAGAAACCAGAAATTAGTAAAAAATATATTTTTTCAGTTTACACACTCTATCTCTGCTTGCCTGGGGACATATCCTGTCCTAAACCTGGGAAAAAGATAAGTGTTGCAGCAGCGTGATTGTTTAAAAATTATGACAAAAATGCTAAATTAAGTGCGCCTTAGAGCTAAACTGATACAAAAATGTCTACAAAGAAGCCAACTCCACTAATTTGAGATTGAAGCGTCCTTAATTGATTGAATACCTAAAGAATGTCAAAGCTGCACAACAGAGCTGCTCATTTCCAACGCAAAATTAAGAGATTTAAATAACTCAGTAGCCAAAAACATCAACAAACCCTAGAGCCAGGGGAAAAAAGAGAGAAATTTCAAAATTAAAAAAGAAATATAGTAGTCGTAAATGTAAGCGGTCAATTTTACCTTATGATCGGCGGTGTGAGAATGTGATTTAGCTTGCGATTTCTTCGAAGTATTTTTGTGAGAATGCTGAGGCTTTGAAGTCTTCTGATTCGTTTGAATTGTCTCCGGCTTGGCGACAGATTCAACTTCCGATTTCCTCTTTTGGAAATAGTTCCCGAAAACTAGAAAAGCAATCACAATTCCGATGATCGCCGACAGAATCGCAATCGGAAGCATCGAATCCATTGCTGAATGCTGTAAATCTCGAAAATGGATTTCTCAAATCGAAATTTTCAGCAGTAGCCCAAGTGTAATCAATTCAAGCACGAAGCTGCGGCTAAATGCACGTTGAGTGTGTACATTTCGCTAGAGGAATTAAAAAACTATAAACTATACACACTGTAACAGTAAAAACAAATTTAATTATAAATTTACTATAGTACTTAGTACATATAGTTTTACTATCCTGGGTTAAAAAAAAAAAAAACATTTACGACTCACGTTAGTAGGCTTGTGGATGGGTAGAGATATGCCTAAGAAATATTGAGGGTAAATTGATAAGGTATAATATGAGCCTTGATAGAAAGGTGTGGAGGACGAGAAGTAGGATACAAGATTAATTAGTACATAAATTAAAAGTGTCTTCTCAATTAGTACATTAGAAAAACAAGATGGTGGGACAGACCCCCGTTTAGAAGATTAGTTAGTACATAAAAGATGTATCGTATCGTTATTGTATTATCTTAATGAATATAGTGTTTGGATAGATTATATTATTCTCTATCGTTATATAATGTCACATATTCATAATTTGAATGATAAATCTACAAGAAAAGTAGGGTACGGGGTCAAGATGAAAAGGTAGGATAAAAGATGAAATATGATTATTAAATAATAAATAAAGAAAAATGAGAAGAAAATGTTGAGGTAACGATGCGATCACACTAAATCGGTCATTTCATAAAATGAGTTTTTTTGTTGTTACCTAATGATGAATTTAAACAACAGGATATAATAAAATTTAAGTAACAATCAAAACAAACATTGTATTTGAACTAACAATACAATACAATGACTAACAACCATCCAAATAAGGTGTAAAACATCAACAATTACACCTTGATTCAGTGATTTTCTAACTAGAAAAATGGAAAACAAAATAAAAATTATTAAAATGTTTCTTCAAGAGCTTGATGAACTAACTTATTATCTGTTTCAATTACCACACAAGTATTACCATAACCACTCTTCAACAAACTGAGAGTTTCCAGAACATCCATAATCTCTGTAAATAACTGCTAGGTATTTTATTTAAAAATCTTGCTTGCCCATTGATGAAATCTCCTCTTGCAGTTGGACTGTTATGAATATCAAAGCTAGCATTTATGTGACATTTCATTTCATTCTCATTTGATTTCTGTCAAGTAACTTGATTTTCAGTAGATGAAATATCCTATAATAACAACACCTTTGCCATATGAAATTCTTTACAAAAATTTTGTGCCTTGAAAAGAATTACATTCAGCACTATTAAGTGTAATGTTATGACAATTTTAACTAGAAATTTTAGTAGTAAGCAAATGATATATAAAGTTTGATCAACTGAGAAGGTACCAATTGACTCCAGTTTTGGACCAAATTAAAGGCATTGAAGATAGTCTATTAAAACAGAAAATTTCCTTTTACAGATACAAACAATCTTTCTTCTTTTAATACATGCCTTTTAAGACAAACTTGGCCAACTATATTTAATACAATTACAAAAATTCAAGAGTGTAATCCTGCTTAGTGTTTGAAGTTTTAAACAAAACGCAAACTTGTACTCAAACTCCTTCACAGCCTCATGAATGTTGGAAGGAAGTTTCTATAATATCTTCTTTTATAGATAGTTTCTACCTAAGCTGCAGATTAGTATAAAAGCAGTCAACCAACTGCCATGTGTAAATCCAGACTCCAGTAGCATGAAGCCTTCTTTAAAATTGATATATGCCTTTGCAGTGAATCAAATTCTTCTCGCGAAAACAATAAAAGAAGCACCAGAAACTAAGCAACTGCCATGTGCATCCTGCACTTTTAAAATTTAAAGAAAGTTGGTTTTGGATGCAGGGATCAAGTAGTTTCTTCAAATGGAAGAAAAAGGAGAGGAAAAACATAAAGCGATGATCGGTTTAGCTTTCTCACTGACCTTCTGGGTGTCGACGAAAAAAGGTACTCTACAAATCCCAAATACTACATTAAATTCCAAGGCCAGGATCTACAGCAATCTCTATCTCTGATAGCAGTTTCAGTTTCTGTGAAACAAGATGAGATGAGTTCAGACTGAGGATATATTTCACTTGACTATTAGGGTTACGAAAGCGATGCACTAATTCCTTTTTCTGATTTCAGCCATCACCACAGTTTCTAACTTTGGCAATTTTTATAACACTATAATAGCCTGAAAAGCTGCTTCTCCAGTAAGATTACACTTCAAACAATTTGGATGTTGACATGATGAGAAGGACTATCAGAGATTAATACGTAACTTTGCTTGCATGCCTTCGCAAAAGACCCTTTTAAAAGATTCAATATTCTCATACAACCAAAATTGAAGTGGTTAATCTGACATGGATTAATTAACTCATCTATGTAAAACTAAAAGTTTAGCTCATGAATAATGGAATGATATCTAGAGAAGTCTCCGAGTGATTGATACCAAGATTGATCATTTTAAGATGAATGTTTTGCAAGCATGTAAAGAATTATTCACACAATTTTATTTTATTTTAAGAGAGGAAGATTGCCTGAATTCTAGAAAATCGAAGTCAAAGACACCTCACCAAAAACTCCTGGATGAAGTATTATTACCGTGATGTATTGAGGTGGATCATCTAGACTAGTTGTACCAAGGACCACTTCCCTCCTTAGCTTTGCTGTAAGCTTGTGACAAACCCTAAGCTGCGTAGAAGAAAATCAACAATATACCATTTCAGATGCCTAAGTGGAAAGGCAGTGGATGGAAATCAAAAGTTACGGAATTACCTCAGATCGAGTTGCACCACCGATAATGAAAACAAAAATCCGTTGTCCCATGTTCTTAAAATCAGTTGAAAAACTTCTGAGATTAGAGTCACTAGAGAAAATTCCAACAAAGACACACAAGACAAGATGAGGAATGTTAAATATTCAATGAACAATTTTTCGAACATATTTAAAATTAGATGCTGCATGCTATGCAAATCCTACTCCATGGAAACTAGTTACGAAAAATTAAATGAATAAATATGGTACTCTTTTTACTAAAAAGTGACAGTTTTTCATATGGAAGTCCAGGAGGCCTGGATCTTCTAGGTTAAAAAGAAAAAAGGAACTCTAATAAAGACGATTTTTCCACGGGAGAACCTTGAATATCCATCATCAGAAGTACGAGAACGTGCCCAATTTGGAGTCCTCCTTGATCTCACTGAGCGTGGATTAGTAGATTCAGTAGTGGCTTTTGGTGGGACATTCCTTGCAGAAGATCCATTGACCCCACGAGGAGCAGTTTGAGAACTGTTCATGCACTGATAATCATCTTTTGACAAGTCACCTTTACACATTTTGTCAACCAACTCCTGAAAGAAGCAAGATTGGTTATATCATTCAGGAAGTATGAAGTATGAGCTAAGCCATTCAAAGAGCTATTTGATTAAACATGAATCATTTGGGAAGTCTACAATGTAATCAAAGCTGAATGTATTCTGCTTTCACACAATGGCAATTTGAAGAAGCATCTCTTATAAAAGCATTATTTCTTTCTTTGTGAGCATTGTAGTCCCCAAATTCAAAAATAGAGTTCTAGAAAGAGAGGCAATGGCAATTGACCCTGCTTCCAAGTATGGTAGTTTTCTGGAATATAATTCAGAACCCTTCAATGGTAAGCAGGTGAATTGGTCTTTAAGCAATTTCCATTTCAAAAAAGTACTAGGAAGGTATCCTCTATGTGGAGCATGCAATAAGATTTTCCAGTCATATGATCTTCTAGATATTCTCATTGCTAGGTCGTTCAGTGGATTCAGTAAGTCAATTAGGACCTAAATCCTACAGTTCATGTAGAAATTTGAAGTTAACCTCTATCTGGTCGCAAAGTTGGCAGTTAATTTGCTATTCCATACTAAAAGTCAACCTAATCTAGAAAATGAAGAAGATATAATAATATGGCTGGTAACAAAAACTGCAACCCTCTTATACTACCAATCTTATAAGCACTAAACAAAAGATGAAATATCTTGCGAGTTTACTTCTGCAAAATTATATACAAAGGAGGATTGAGAAGTCTTATAGCAAACCTCTATCACGGGATAAAACCGGAATAGCTGCCATGTTTCTTCCTCTCCAGTTCGATCCTTTCTAGCTGCATTCCCTTTCTAATATGCAAACAACAAAATCTAGCAACTGTCAGGTCTCATTTCAGTCATTATGAGAGCTGAAGACTCCAGGATAGTTTTAATGTTTACCTTTTGCGAATCAAACTTCAGGGAGAAGCTTCCACTTGGCTTCCGTTTTTCTGAACCCTCTAGCATTCTCATATTTTTCACTGCCTTCATATCCTCAGGTGACAGTTTTGCTAACTAGGGGAAAAAAGAATCTATATTAAAATTTTCAAACTTTCCTTAGATTCAAGTAGCAGTACAAATGAGCCAATACAAAACATAGCCATGCATTTAAGACAAAAAAAATACAACTCTACAAGTTGATTCTAGGACATAGAATATGGATAAACTAGGGATGGCCATATTTTTCTTATAGCATAAAAACATTTGGTTGAGAACTATTTTCTCCAAAACTGGTTCATTCTATAAATCGTAACCAAGGCGGCCAAGAAATCCTGAGAGCATTGATGTAGAGGAGATAGCTTTTGTTGGTCCACATGGTGAAATTGTTACAGAAATTAGAACTTTTCCTCTTGATCTATTGTTCTCACTCCAAAATTTTCTTCTCATATTTCACATTTTCTAAACTACATCCAGTGACACATTATAATTGTACTTGGTAAAATAAATGCTCGAAAAATCACAACAGAAAACTGCCTCAATTAAGCCAACTGCATTGTTGTTCATAGAAACCATCTTTTTCTTTTACTTTTTTTATTGTTCTTGTATTATTTGGAAGCATGCATAGAAACCCCAACATTTGAACTTGGAAAATTATATTGTTTGCAACATCCTATTCATACTCTTCTGATACTAAGCATTCTATGGATTCTTCAGTGATTTTCGGGCATCATTTTTCTTGATGCATCACAAAATCATTCCAGTTGCTCTTCAGAAGATTCTTTCTTCCCCTTAAATCAACAGACAAAACTACTACTCTCCAGTTATTTTATTATGTGTCCACATACTTGTGCCAATCTACCATAAGATTGTTTGAACAAAACCTCAATGATATGCTAGATGGAATTCAGACTGTTTCAAAAATTTAGCATGTAGTAAATACCTGCATCAATTTTGCTGCTTTGTCGCCCTCAAATTTTTCTGGATACACAGATGCATAAATCATCATCAGGCGTAACTTATTTTCACCTGAAGTATCCTGCATGCAGCAAAGTTGTTACTTAGACCATGCCTTGTAGTGGAAATTACAATGAGTTTGAATATTTCTTCTGAGCCAGCACAAAAATTTCCACCTGCTTCGACCTCAGATAATGGATAACTTCCTTTGTTCCTGCATCGCCAAAGACAAGATCCTGTTCTAGCTGTCCAAGTTCCCGAAGACCCGTATCTCGGATAATTTTATTAAGCTCACCAGCAATCTGATCGATCAAGTAACGAAATAAACTTCAGCATTTTATTGCAGGCTAGGTTCATCACATTGTCAAATTCAATTGTTCCTAAATAACCAAAGAATAACTATATGGATATTAACATAGGTAAGACCAACGACATGGAAGATGCTATGACTTTTAAACACTTGTAGCAGGTTTTGTGTACGAATAAGGTATGACCATCCCCATGAGCTCTACCACAGAAGGGCTGGCTGTTATTAGGGATTATACAAATTTAGAATACAAACCTAAACCAATGAAACTAGCTCCTAAGAATCGTACATCCAGAAGTACCTCAAAGTCTAATTTCTTATAGTCCACCTCTATTCAAGAATGATTTTAATTGTTAAAGTGTTACTCCATAAGAACTATTAAATGTGAAGAAGGGATAAAGCTTTAAGTTTGCTTTTTGAAAGAAACAAAGAAGTCCACACATGGATCCAGTTGACCAAGGAACAAACCTCGACATGGGTAGATAGTCTCTCCTTTTGTTCATTATACTGTGGCAATGCTTGAACCATCTTCTGCAAGTCCCGTGTAGATAATTCACTTCCATCTCTAAGTAAAAATAAATTTGAATTGAGAAATCATCAGAAGGAAGTTTCATGAATAAAATTCTGTAAATCTACTCATCTGTAGTTAACAAATCACATCTATGATCAATTGGTAACTAAGATTAACAAGTGACTGAATGCTGCATCATCCACAGACATGGAGCAGAGTACGTGCTATACTCATTAAGATGCAGGTTTCCACAACGTTTTCAAAGGAGTAAAAATTATATTTCATAGCTTTAGAAACACCAACCTCTGCTCCATCTGTGCTGCCTTGTTCTTAGAAACAAAGTTTGTAAACCTATCGTGGAGTCGTTCACTAGCCTGATGAAGTCTTCAAGTTAGGAGTTGAAGTACATATGACATGCACAAGTATTAAAGGAATAAGGTAATTCATGAAACTTACATCAGCTATATGAGTATGCCGTAGCTCCAACCAGACAGGATCCTGATCTTCCAAAAGAACTTCCTTCTTCTCAGGTGAACCACCTGTTTTGCTAGGAACCTGATGTGAATACATTTCGGTCAAACTTCAGGAGAATATTGATATAAGAGATCCAGAACATGAAGCAATGCGTACCTCATGTACATATTTATTTCCATCCATATCAAGCAGGTCATGGCACATGGCATCATATGTCCATTCATGAATCACAGGAGCAATCTAAACGAGAAGATTCATCATTTCATCAAGTTAAAAACGAAACATAGATAGTGCTGATTATTATTTTATCAACAAAATCAATTACAAACCTGGTCAACAGATCTGTCCAGAATCAATAATTCACATGTCTCCTTCTGTGGATAGTTAGGAATACTAGACTTATACGTAGTGATATTGTTCCATATGGCTGTAGCAAGCTTTCCAGCAACTAATTCACGGAAATTTGTCGCTGTTGATCCATCTTGTCCCTTGGAAGCTCTATAACGCACAAAAGGAAATTCCTGGATGTAAAGACAAGAATTTTAGCAAAACTAAGTTGGTCACAGGGAACAGTAACTGGAAGAGACCCAAATAAAAATCAAAGACATTCGTGAAAATGCAATGTCTTTTACACCACCAAAATACTTTACTTTTACCTAAAGAGAGTCATAATTGCACCAACCTTTTCAACAAATTTTTTTTTTTGATAGAATAATTGCAACATAAACTAATACAAGGCTTTTACCGGTAGTCTTTTGGTTTGTTTATAAAATTCAGATGAAAGAGCATTGGTGAAGTTCAAGTTACCTTCAGTGAAGCAAAGACAGTGGAGATTCTTGAGGCCATTACATTCAAGGACGCTTCAGCACGCCGGGAATTTTGAGCACTTTCACCAAACAACTCTCCAAGTGCTCTTTCATGGTCAGTGACAAATCCCTGTGATAAAAACGGACAGATTAAAAAAGTCGCTATCTGCATAATTCTTCAATTAATCAACAGATGAGTACTCAATTACGAATTAGTTGAGATCCACTATGTGAATCTTCTACATCTATTCCTTTCAATTCAGGTCCATTTCATGTCTTCATAATATTTCATTAGTCAAAATTGTAAAAATAAATAAATATAATTCTCAGTTTATAAACAGATATTGAACTAAATGCTCCAAGTAAAGCAAAAAAGGTGTTCATCGAGATATTTGCCAAATTACCTGGCTGTCTATTGGAAAGTACTCAAAATTCATCTGCATTGTGCCAAAAAAAAAGAAGGAAAAAGAAGATTCAGTCAAACTTGTGAAGAGATCATTTTCATGATGCATGTAGTATTGTAGACAGAGACATGTGATCATTACCTCTCCTAGTGCACCTATACGGGGTATGACACTTGTGTCATTCTTGATGCGCGCAACCAGGTCCTTAGGTATTGGGTGACTGAAGTATACATATGCTCTGAAAAGATAGGTTAATAATAGAAGTAAGATGACAAGAACCAGAGGATTCAATTAAATTGATCAATGTACGGTACACAAAATTTTATGGAGAATGGGATCCTGTCCATACTTCCTGTATAAAGGTTCTCTTCCTGACATATCGGACAAGAACATGACAACACTGCAAACTCAAATTTTAACTGTTAGTTCTCATTTGTAAGTGCTGCAGAGGGAAAAATGATCTGATGTTTCGGAAAAGAATCAATGAATAAACTGACTTTAGAGATCAAACATAACAGAGAAGAAAGTACATGCAGAAGTCCACATCATGTACCAAAATGTGTAACTTTATTCAAGCCATAGATGAGGTCCTGTTCCTTCAAATCACACGCGGAGAATAATATTTAAATTTGCTTCTTTGAGTAATTAAACAGATTTAGTTTAAAATGAACTACGTTGTTTTCTTATTTATTCAAATGGATAATTTGTATGTAATTCAACTAATTTCATTGTTATTTAGTAGTTCCAAGGACATGCACATTCTTTTGTTTGTTTATGTAATTTCATCCAATACTGTTTATCTTTTACCCTATTGTTTCAAGTTTGTTAATTCATATAATCAAATCAATACATTTCTTCCATTTGAAGCAGAGGGTCGCTTGTCTTTTAATCATCTTCTCAGAACATAATTTTTTTCTCATTCTAAAATGAAATTTTTGTCCTTATAGTTACATTCTTCTCAAGGTTATTCTGTCAGTTTTGTTCACTCCTACCATTTTAAGCATTATTTGATGAAAAGAGAAGATAACACAACAGAAAAAGGTATTTATGTAAACAGGCATAGAAGACAAGTTGTATCCCATGCAAAGCATGGCCATAGTCTAGGTTAAAGTTAAACTGCAAAAATGGACAGCAAAGGGTATTTAGAAGAAAAGAGAGAGAGAGAGAAAAAGCACATCATCTCTAGTCTAATCCAAGCATTGATGGCATCAAGCTCAGTCTTTGACTATTGTGAACTATGCAGAGTTGAATAAAATCTCTTACTTTGAGTAACAACTAAAAGGGAAATATGGCTTCCACCTACTCAAACATCCTAAAGTGCGAAAAAAGGTTCTCTTCTACATTATTATGACAGGATAGGCAATAGATTTTAGTGAACCAGTAGGGATCTTAGTGCACAATAATCTCTCATTACAAGAACTGGTAAAGCTTAAATGCACAAAGCTTTCAACCTGCAATCCAGGGTAAATGCTATGATCATTTGAAAATATTTTTCTCAGCTTTTAGCATAGAATTTTCAAATTTTTGATCAGAACTTAAATAGCAGACCACGTGACATCCAAGATTATTAAGTACGGTTATAAAATAAGACATATTCTCCAGCCTACATTCAACCCAGGAATTCCATTGGAATAGAAATGACCAAGATTCCTAGACTATGCCCTTCTAAAGCATAAAAAATTGCATCTTGCCACAAAAGAAGTCTATGTGAAACTAGTTAGGTAGTTGTTCTTTTGTATTTCACTCCTTCCAGGTTATAAGGTTTGTAAGACCTCAAAAATATTTTTACTTCATTAAGACAGAAATGACAGGCATTGGGCATCCTAAGTTGAAAAGAGGAAGCAAATGGAGGCATTACTGACGGACTACAGGTAAGCAAAACTTCTTAAACTCGGTCAAGTAGATTATAGAATGTCTGAGACCATTTCCTACTTATTAACTGAAGGAGAGAGGAATTTGCATGAAAACAGAAAAAGAGGATTGAAGAGGCCAAAACAAAGACTTTGAGATTTATATTTTAAGAGGAGAGGAGGTTGTTTGATTCAATTGGAACTTTGTTTAATAAATATGGGAAGTGGAATCTCCCTCTATTATCACTGGAATATTCCTTTCCCTAGGCTTTGAGATGTCTAGATCATGGAAGACTATCACACTAGCAAAGAGTGGAAAAGTCAGATGTCTGTAATGGTAAGCTTTGCAATCAAAGTAATTTGTGTCTCGACTATAAAAGTTTATTTTCTTTGATGAAAAGTTCCTAGATCAGTAGGTACTAGAATTTTCCTTATTATTCCCAACACTTAAATAAAGAACAGGTTATGGTTAATGGACAGGGCTATACCATTATACTATTCTTAATCTATAAATACTAAACAGTGCATCAATCTTGCCCTGCATTCCTTGTATCCCTAGCAGCATGGTTACAACCAGATACTATGAAGTAGAAAGACCAAGTGAAAGTCCTCTAAAACAAAAGCCTTATTTCATTTCCAGCCTTCCTCTTACCCAATAAATGTTAATCAAAATTTATTAACAGCTTATGACTAACACAAATGATGAACAGAAAATTTTGGAAATGGGTACAACTCATATGGGAATTTGGAGGTAAGTGTGAGGCGTAAGGGGGGTGGGGGGGAGGGGGAGGCGGTGCATAGAACATTCAAGATCATGTATAAAGTCAATACACAGTTCTCGTGCTTTGTTTACAAAATCAAACACATGATGATTATGTAGAGAACAGATTTCGAGAAAAAGATCATACTTCTCCTTTGATGGTTGGATGTAGTATATAGCATCCATTGTTGGCAAAGGTTGTCTTCTTCTGAAAAGGTCTTCCACCACTGTTACAACAAATACAAATTAATCATTAGGACATGCTAGAACTAACAACCAATTAAAATACCCTACATGGGACTTTGTAACTCATTTCCACCAGATTTCGTGACAAAGTCAATAAACCTTATGTTTCTGACTGGGTAGAACTAGAGATCACAGAGTAACTTTTGTGGTGCCTTAAAACGTTTATTTTTATTTATAGAAATAGGAGTAGAAACATAACCTAATGAAACTAGTCATCACTCACTTCTAATTGAAAAATGCTCTTTGTTCTTGGTTTACTGAAGGGGTTTGATAATTGTGTGAGGTTAGATTGTCAACTAGTTCTACAATGACGCAGATAAACTTAAAGAGTTCATTGCATGCGGAGCTCACATGAAACTCCTTGATCAGTGATATCAGCCATTTTGCATGTGGAAGACATCACTTTTACCGTTACTTTATCCATGATAAGAACCTGCAAAGAAGTAGTTAAGCAGCATAATTTTAAAAATTGCAAGTCTCCCATGCTGTCAAGACATAAAGGCAGCACATAACTGAAAGGAAAAATAGAGACAGAAGCCAATAACAACAGTGACTCCTAAATTTATTCTTATGCAAGTGCATTTCTTCTTTCATAACACTATCTTTTGAGGTTATTAGACAATCTCACTGTGGGCTGGCGTTAACTCGCAAACCAGTACCAAGCAATGTCATACATGCACACAGCTATAACATATTCACGCTGACACATGATCAATCATTCTGTAATGACACAGATACCAAGTTAGACTATTCATGTTAAATTAATCAAGTCATATTGGGAAGATATTTTACTACAAACCATGTATGTCAAAACTTGAAAAGATGGGTAAACAATAGATGTTCTAGAAATTTTGGCATTGACAGGACGGAAAACTAGTTTTCACACAAATGATAAAGTTGCTCCCCCTGATTCAAAGTTCAAGGAGCGGAAACAGCCTCTTTGCAGAAATGGAAGGAGAAGGCTGTGTACTGTATACACCACTCTCCCCCTAACCCCTACTAGTTGGGAAGCCCTTCGTGCATGGGTAAGACATTTTGAAGCTGGTGGAAAAAACAACATAACAAAATACTTGCTTTCCCCAAACATCTGGATGAGAGTCATTCTTTAAGAGATAAGATTTTTGAAAAAAGTATTTAAGGCAACGAAATATAATTGTTTCAAGGAGAAAAGAAAAAATTTAACAAACTGATTTCGTGTAATAAATTCCTCCTGTTAACATACCTTCCATGAAGATCTTGAATCTCCTGAATCAGAAGTTCGAAGCATTTCATGTAATAGTCCTAGAACAAAAATACATCAAGACAGTCAGCACATTAGTGGAAACTCATCTTTAATGCAGTGTGAAATGCCATAGACACCCACAGAGATCAAGGGACAAGTTCAATGCATCAGGAATAGTAATCTCGTGGTAATACCATAATTCAATGCTGCAATAGAATTAAAATGTTTGATGCATTAAGAAACAGTAATCTCGGGGAACATACTTCTTGTTGCTAGATTGAAAAGATGCTAACAAAAGGTTTGATGATTTTCCTGGTTAATACAGTCTCCTATTTTGCATCTCTGTTCTTCCATTTTACAGTAGTTCAACTGCTAGGTGAATCACTGAATCCACACTGCAATTATTAAAAGAGTTGTACTCCACATGGGTAAAAAGGCATCTATTATATGACCTTAGTCACCTTACTGATTTCTCGAAGAGTTGTATCGGTTGAGATTATTTCTCCATCAGCTACTCATTGTTGTGCATCAACTTAACGATTCATCTTGATACACAATAAATTAGGAAGGCAACCAATCACTTATTACAGTATGCGATGTTTCAAAGTGTAAAAGATATGAGCCAAACTCAACCCCAAAAGCTAGCTCATGAGGGGAGAATTGTCTAAGTTCATAGAAGCAAACCACTAGTCCATTCCCCCAACCAATGTGGGACTGTAATCCACTCTAACAGCCCCTTCACGTTCAGGCTGATTGGAACACGCACCGGGGGCCCAAACAGGGAAGGACATGACTCTAATACCACGTAAAGATATGACACCTGAACCTAACTCAACCCCAAAAAATAAAGGGAAACAAGTTGTGTAAGCAACAAAAACAACTCTCCCCACCTCACCCCAATCCCCTTTTGGAGGCACTAAATTTCGAACCCTATCAGCTCCTACTTGAAATCCAAGAAAGTTTTGGTCAAATTAAAAAGGGAAACCCGTGCACTAAGCTACCGCTATGCATAAGGTCTGAAGAAAGGCCGAACCACAAGTGTCTATTCTAGACAACCACACCCTACATTCTGTAAGAGGCAGTTTCCACAGCTTGAACCCGTGACCTCCTGATCACATGACAATAACTTTACTAGTTACGCCAAGGCTCCCTTCAATTAGTTTTGGTCAAATTAGTCTTCTAAAATACAAATTATAAGGTATGGATTCATGGTTCAGAAAGCACTTGATCACATTAAGCAACTGACTTTACAAGAATAGCTAGTAACCAGAACGCATCGCATCCTCATACATATCAATCACAAACTAGTTGGAATGAATGCTACGAATACCACATTCTAAAAATTGGGGATTGATTATAGTAGAAATGTCAAAGTAATAAATTTGAAATAAATGCAATATGTGTGAAGTAAGAGCTTACGATCACGGCTGATTTGCTTGAAATTCTTATACTCTCCTCCATGAGAGGACGTTTCTGAATCTGAAAAAGACATTGTCTTTGGAAATTCTGTTCAGTGAATTTTTGGAATGAAGAAATTGAATTGAAATTTAGTGAGAGAGAGAGTGGAGGGAGAAAATAGTGGGAAGGCGTTTTTGAAGGGGAGAATCGAGAGAGTCTGAAAAGGTCGTTAAAACTTCGTGGGGACGCACAAAGAGCTCTAACCGTGCCTTTCTTTTCTATTATTTTTTCTTCCGTATTCTATTTGTGAAATTATATTAAAGCATGTTACCGTTATTCGTTTTTGTACATACATGGAGTATCATTTATTTGTTGAAGTAAACTGAAATAATTTTTCGTCTTTATCATTAAAAATTGAATTTTATTGGATATATTTTATTGATGAGCGATGGAGTAAAACATCAGTGAAGGTTCTCTATCTCCTTTCCCTAAGTTGAATATGTATAAATCACATTATCTTGCACGTTAAGTTGTATTTACTTATTTGTTTTGAGTTTGAAATTATCATGTGAATATAATTGTGATTATTGGTACTGCTTTTTTATTTTAGTACTATATAATATATTGAAAGTTGTTGGGGAAATAAAGTTAAGGATACGAGGAAGTAATTTGTAGTAGTATATTTGATACCAATAATTGTTTAGAATTGGACGTGCATGTTGGTCACTCCAACATGCTGCAATTGGCGACCAACTAATCGTGCATTATCAACTCCAAACAGGACATCAATAGCAGCATTGCGTGTAATCAAATGTTTTGAATTCAAGCATTGAAAAATAAGAAAATAAATTATTGAAAAAGTTATTCTTAAAAATAAATCTCGCGGTATATGAATCCATATATAAACTATACTAAAAATGTTCAACATCAATCAGATAGGAAATCAAATTAAAAGACCCAACATGATACACCTATTTTTCTTGTGTTCTTAAAAAACTTGTACACCTATTACTAATAATTAACATTATTATTAAATAATTTAAGTTTATTTTCTTATAAGAATTTTGAAAAATACACGTTTCAAGTAAAAAATATTCTCTTTCTTAGTAAGGCGAGGATAATTTTTTTCAAATAGGTCACAATAATGTTTGTTCTCTTTTTAAAATTTATATAAAATTAAATGCATAAGTAATTTCTATTTCTATTTGTAATTTTAATTTATTTTTTAAATACTCTATCTTAATATACTCGATTACGGATACACATTCTTATTAATTAGTTGACTTACAATTAATAATTAATAATTAAGGGTGATATAGTAAAATTATTCGTAATTTTTTTTATATATATAAAAATCATCCCATTTATTTTACCTATGAATTTTTTTTTTGAAAAAAATGCCAACTACAACCAGGATTTAAAGTGGTGTGGATTTACACTAATTTATTAACAATTGATTTTGTTTCTTAGACTTTGCAAGTTAATAAAAATTATGTTTCGAACTTGTTTTAATAGTGAAAATCGTGGTTTATTGGTGATGTTATGGGAGATAGAAATATAGTTCAATGTGATTGTTTTCAATGTTCAATAGTAATATTGTATACTACTTTTTATATAATAGTGGAGTTATAAAAAATAAATTAAGTTATTTGCTAACTTTTAAAAACTAAGGATTTTTATCAAATTCTAAAAAATGAAAATTCATATACTACGCCAAACACAACTTCAACTTAAAAAAATTCATTGTCAAACTCCTATTAACCTTATTTATGCACAGTTAATAGAAGCCTAAATCTAAATACTTCAGACTTTAGACTATTAAATACGTTTATTTTTATTGATAATGATGTAATTAAGATGAGGTAATTCCAACTACTAGCCAAGCTTAACTATCAAATACAATGGGTGCTGTAATTCCAATTTTACCCTTCCCCTTCTCAGTTTCCCTTCTTCCCCATCATTTCACTTCTCCTCAACCATGGATTCCACTTTTTCTGCTCGGAATCCATAAACCCGAAAAAAAGAAGAAATTTTAAAGAAATTAAAACCAAATTTAATAAAATAAACACACTCAAGAACAAAACGAAATCAAACCCCTTTGATTCTTATTTTGTGTAATTCTTTTTTTTCGTGTGAATTTTTTTGAGAGATTTTAGTATGTATAGATCTGGAACAGTGATGGCTTGGAACGTATTCAGATTCTGTACGGCCCTAAGAGGACTGGGATCAATTATGATCTTGTTGGTCCTAGGCGTTGTCGGTGTTACATATTACGCTGTCGTTTTGACCAGCTATGGTCCCACCCTCATCAGTGGCTCTGGAATCTTGGATGCCCTCATCGCGCTTGCCGTACTTGTCTTGTTCCATTGTTTGGTAAATTTCTTGACTTCTATTGTATTGGGGTTTCCTTTATTGATCATTGGTTTTAATGGGTGGAAAGGAATTTTGATGTATGTGGGGTTTGTGAGGAAATTGGAAAGAATGTTCTTTTTGGGTGTTTTATTTGACTGAACTTCTTTGAGGAGAGTGCTGCTAAATGGTGTGGATGTATTGGGTTTTGATAGGATGTACGAGCATATTCTTGGGATTTTTGTAAAGTAAGGTATTTGAGATATTAGTTTAATTTTTTTTATGTATCATGCTTACTTGAATTTACATTAGAGTGTTTAGCTTGGTCAGAAATTGATGATAGTGTAGGGATAATGTGTGAGATTTACAGAATCCGATATGTTTCACAGAACTCCTAATTTGTCCTGAAAGATAAATATCGAGTAGCGAAATGAAACACGGTCAAATGGAGTGGATGTTTAGTTGTTATCAAATGCTCAGTTTGAGTGACGTGTAAGCTAAGTTGCTCGGACTCTTCACTTTTGGTGCCGCACCCGTGTTGACACGACATGGGTGTGGGATCCGTGTCTGATTTGGTCATCCAATTTTGGGTACTTTGACCAAAATCTGGACAATGTTAATGAATTATGTAATCAATACAAAAGCTAAGGTGAAATTGAAGAAATGGAATACATTTTATATAAAATTTCTATGTCACTCCTTTTCCTTTGATCTCCTTCCAGGATTCTCCTCAAGTTCTCCACATAATATTTCATAATTTAGGTTTTATAACTCTATTGTTAGATATTTTAATTATTTTTTGGCGAAGCCCCACACCCGTATCCATACATGGATCCATTTCCCCGAATCTTAAAAATTAGATCACGAAGGATCCAACCTTTAGATCCGCACCCGTATCAGACACTTGCACCAGAGTCCAAGCAACTTAGCGTGTAAGCACTAAAGCTAAGTGCAAAATAAGCTGAGCTTTTCACACGCTTAGATAACACTTAAGTTAAGGCACCAAAGCCCCTAAGGCGTGTGTCTCATCATGCATGGGCTCTGTCTTGAAGAGGATGACTCTAGACAATAATTATTCTATTGAGAACATATTTTTTAAAATTCATTTGTCGATATATATGTTGTTGACACTAAAAGGGTAGGAGGATTTATATAGCTAGCCCCAACTAGTTTGAGATTGAGACATACTTGTCCGCAAATTTCATTTTGTAGCTTAGATTGCATTGAAGAATTATAAGTTTCTTTTTTAGACGGTAAATTTTCTCTACCAATACTTACCGAACACCAATTGATATGGGGACATACAAATCGGGGTCTTGAATGCAGTTCTATACGCCCAAAGAGCGTCATCTAACTTCCGGGACCAATCGGATCGTAGAAGGTATCAATAATCGTGCGCACAAGATATACACCTTCTATGTCAAGTTAGGTCATGTTAAGCATTGAGAAGACGATCATAGTTAATGCAAAATGCCAATTATTGAAGAAGCGCTCCGGGATAGGTCTTTTTACGTTGATGGAGATCGACAATACACTTGCGATACTTGGCTGTCATTCACAGAAAGTATCTAACAAAATATGAGTTTGATTCGATCTCATTAGCATAGAGATGATATTCCTTGCTCGTGATTATATAATCATTTATTCACTAACTTTACGTGGGAAAAGTAGTGTTTATTAACCATCATGGAAAATCTTATTCTCCACTTAGAAATTCTATATCTTCTAATTTTGGAATTTATATAAAAGTCAAATTAGGCTATGGATGCATAGTGATCTATACTCTGTAGCTGAAGGAGTTGTTGTTCTTTAATAACTGCAGTTGGTGATGCTTTTGTGGAGTTACTTCTCTGTCGTTTTTACGGATCCTGGTAGTGTACCTCCAAATTGGAAGCCAGACTTGGATGAAGAAAGAGATGACACTGATCCATTAACCGCATCTGAATTTGGGGCTTCACCAGCTGATTCAACCAACCCAAGAGTACGGTTTTGTAAAAAGTGCAACCAGTTGAAACCACCTCGGTGCCATCATTGTTCTGTTTGTGAGTTCTTGTTATGCAGCTTCTGTGACGATTTTTGTTTCTGTTTTTTTTTTCCAATTTGAGATTGAGCTGTTCATGTTTCCGTGTTTTAGGTGGAAGATGTGTGTTAAAGATGGACCATCATTGCGTGTGGGTTGTCAATTGCGTTGGAGCACTAAACTACAAGTATTTCCTTCTTTTTCTGGTAAGCTTCACTATTCTTATAGTTGATAATATTCTACTATCAGCAACCTTAGCAAAATTGATAGGGTACCAGCAAATATGAAATTTCTCTGTGGTTTTTCTGCACCAACTGCTCTCAGCCTTTGCTGTTAGCTTTCTATTCTAATACCTACTATCCCTTCTGCTATGCAATTTATTCCTTGTTGCACTGTTTGCACCCTTTTCGGTATTTCAATGGATATACCACAAAGTTGTAAAGGTTTTGTTTTCGACCAACTTCTTAAGCTAAACAGACAGTAGAAAAGAACTGCGACTGGAAAATCATATTCACCTATTGATCCAACAGTGCACAATCATGAGGAGCTGTGACTTCTTTTATCCAGCTAGTTGTACAAGTGTGGAAAGAACTGGCTATTTTCATTTGGAAGATCTGACAAACCACTTAACTTGCATTAATTTCAGAGCATTATCATATTTAAATATATTGTGACCATAGCGAGGAATTATTTTCAAATTTCTGTAACCTTGTTCTTTGCCAAATTTTACTTTTCCTTTTATATTACCAACTCTGCCTGTGTGAGCTTTGCATAGCTGGCACTAAGACTGGATAAAACAGAGTTGTGTAGGCTGTTGGGTAGATTAAAACTAATCAAATCATGATGCAGCTACCTACTAGTTCGCGTTCGATGCTTAATTGATTG